TGAACAAAACAGACGATTTCTTCACTTCACCAGACATTTTTTTTCTTTTTTTTGGAAAGAATTACCCTGAAACAATGAAAGTTTAATGTATTTACTGTTTATATCTCATTTCTTTTCTTTCTTTCGGTTTTTTTTTTTTTTTAAACAATTCACTACTAAATGAACACTTTGTCTGATTCAATATCGTTTATATCGAAACAAAACATTTTTGTCGTAATTGTTGACATTGTTCAGAAGGGACAAAGAAAAAAATCTACTTAAACCGTAAGACACCAAATTCTATTTTACGGAAAGCTTCCAAAATCTTGCCAATATTGTTGGACTTTCTTTTTTTTCTTTTTTTTTTTTTTTTTTGAATATTTTTTTCTTTTTTTGTTATTTAAATTTTTCACTTGTAAAATAAAATTATTATTCGAATTCACTATACGGCGTAAAATATTAAAAAATTTCACTGTACAGAAACAAAACATTTGTTCCGACTATTTTTTCCATTCTCTTTGGGGGTCTATTTTGAGGGATGACGCAAATATACATTTCCAAAATTTAAAACTTAAAAAATATTTTTTCATTCTAATCTTTTTTTCTAATTTTCCAAATTAAAATTTCTTTAACTTTTCAAATGCACAAAAAAAAAATTATTCACTTTTTTTTAATTTGATTTCATGTTTTTTATTTTTATTTTTAATTTTTCAACTTAAAAATTTAAAACGTGAATATTTGGATTTTTAATTTCAGAAAAATTTTAAATATATTTGTTTCAGTCTACTCTTTTTTTTTAATTTTCAAAAAAAGGATTAGAATTACTTTAACTTTTCAAACAAAAAAATATTCACTTTTTAACATAGATGTCAAATTAAAAATTTAAATCCAGGAGAATTGGATTTTAATTTAAAAAAAGGGAGTTTTTACAAAAAATATTGAGTGAAACAGGAGGATTTTAAAAACAGCACCACCGCCATGTTTTTTTAAATCATTTCACCCGAAGCCAGGCGAGAATGCCACTAGCACGCAGGGTGTTACAGGGTGTGAAAGTGAGTGAAAAGTCTGTGTATAGGGAGGATTGAGGAAAGGACAAAAAATGAACGGGATTCAAGAAAATAGAAGATGACGAGTGGCATTGCGTTAAAGTTTTATCAATCATTTCACCCCAAGCAAGGCGAGAATGCCACTAGTACGCAGGGGGTTACAGGGTGTGAAAGTGAGTGAAAAAACTGAGTATAGGGAGGATTGAGGAAAGGACAAAAGATGAACGGGATTCAAGAAGATAGAAGATGGTGATTGAAGTTGCATTTAAATTTTGTTAATCGTTTCACCCCAAGCAAGGTGGGAATGCCACTAGTACGCAGGGGTTTTACAGGGAGTGAAATTGAGAGAAAAGACTGAGTATAGGGAGGATTGAGGAGTGGACAAAAGATGAACCGGATTCAAGAAGACAGAAAATGGCGATTGACGTTGCATTTAAATTTTTGAAAATTGTAGTTATCAGGGAAGCAAGTAAACGTTAAAGAGACAGGTGAAAAGCGCGAGAAAAGAAATCTGGAGTTGGAGTCTAAAACATCATTCTTTGAATTCATATCAGATAATTCCAATAGAGAGGTGATTTTGAAGAAAAAGTCTCCATTTTAGGCCAAACCCAATTCGGTAAATCGGTTACAACAAAAAAATGATATTTTTCCGATCATACAGAACTCAAAACCGCAAGTCAAGTGGAACCCCAGGAAGAGTTGACAGATCTGTTTAAGGGATTGTTGTTTACCCGTGTGACATTGTTTACCTGTTCAAGGAATTCAATTTATCGTTTCAAAGATGGATGACCACTGTCTTTAAGTTGACAGATGAAATGTCGGCTTTCAAAGACAAACTGCGAAAAAACGGCAAACAGACTTGCATATCCGGTTCTTCCAATATTAACTGAGATTTTCAGGGTGACCGGGATTGTACCGTCCTTCTCATATCTAGTGCACAATATCATCAATGTTCCTTATCAACCAAATGCAAACCTCGTCTTACGGTCTCATCACGTTGAAAAATCCGTTCCCGTACGAACATTAAAGTTAAACAACGTCAAACCTGAATACCAGGTGCTGTAAACTTGCATGTATGGTTGGTGTAACGGACAATGGCTCGGTATTGTTAATCCGAGAGCCGAGTGTAAGGATAGAGAAAACGCTTATGTCCCTTTGGTGGACATAAGTCACGTGAGACACATGATGGCTGCTTAATGACGTCACTGCATACAGCGACGAAAGCGCCGGTCATTTTTTAGTTTGTATCCAGCAGCCAAACGAAACTGAGATTTTCAGGGTGACCGGGATTGCACCTTCCTTCTCACATCTAGTGCACAATATCATCAATTTTCCTTATCAAACAAATGCAGATCTGGGTTTGCGGCCATATCACGTTAAAACACCGGTTTCCTGTACGATCACTAAAGTTAAGCAACGTCGAGCCTGGTCAGTACCTAGATGGGTGACCGCTTTTGAATATCAGCTGCTGTAAGCTTGGAGGCACATTTGGTGTAACGGATCATGGTTCTGAAGTGCTAATCAAAGACCCGAGTTCCGATTCTCATTGGGTTCGTTATATTCACTTTCGCACAAATACTCTTGAGAAGGTATGAACCCACCTCTTCTCCCCCAGCTATGGGTTAATTAGTATCACTAAATACATTAATATCTACAAAAAAAATTACAATTTAAAAATATTTTCTGGTTTTAAAAGGGTTGGTAAGTCATAAAAATGAAATCAATCAATCAATCAAATGCAGATCTGACAACCTAAAAAAAAGCTCAAAAACTGGAGATTTATATCGATAACTTTAGAAAAACTGAGATTTAATCAAAAACACGTAGAAACCGGTTTCAAAAACTGGCCAAAAATAATTCCATGAAACATAATTCTTCAAAGTCACGGCGTTTATTTTCAACGGAGGAATGATTGTGGACCAACATTAACAACTTTCAGGTCAGAACATTTGTAAGGGTAAAATTATGGCAGAGAGCAAAGGTCACCCTTGAAATATTAAAAATTATAGTAATATAGAATTTTGCTTATAGATGATACCAATCAATGGTGATGTTTGAGCCCACAGAATCTGTGCTTCGTCATCATTATTAATATAAAATGTCAAAATAATAGTGTTTATATGAACTATGGAATACCAATTGAGAAGAAAAGACTGTTCATTTAATCGTGAAAGGGGGAGAGATCAGTAATCTGGTTGTATTCTAAGTTTACCAACATTCCGGGTTTTTGTCGCTACGGCCGCGTTTATTTAAGCGGCTGTTTGTGCGAAAACAGTCAGTCAAAGTCGACTATAGAGGGAGAGATAGACAGTGAGAGAGTGAAAGCGTCCGCTTGCTGCTGTAATAAGAGAGGAAGTCATCTGCAAAATTGGCGCAATACTGCCAGTGAATCCTCTATTATCATGATAGTAAAATAATTACGGCAACTACTAAGAACAAAAAGGTGAACCAGAAAACTACTTCTCTCCTTTTAGAATTATTTGCGATATGTGTTTTTTGTTGTTGTTTTTTTCTGGTTTTTTTTTATTTATTTATTTCATATACACTACTTTCTTGTAAAAGAAAAGAAAAGAAAAAGAAGCATTATTTTTTTGTTCCAATTTCTTCCTTATATACATATACATAAATTTTTCTTTGGACTCGAATCGACTTGTTCATATCTGATTGTTCTGCTTGGCTCGATTCTCGCCCCAACGAACTTGCAGCTTGACCAGCTGAATCTTACGGGATCTACGATTTGTTAATTGCTCTCCTGGATCCAAAAAAATGGCAACGTGGCTAGAAAGTGGAATCGAATTGACATTGTGAACCGTAGACTTTGAACCTGTAATACTGAACCAGGACAGGACCAACGGCCGGTCTTGTACAGTACATCGATCCAGTGGGGTCTGGATAGGTGTTTCAAAATCATAATAATATTAATTTCACGTTAACATTCATTTCGCTAGAGAAGATTAGGCAGGGTAAGTACAGTGAATAGGTATAATAAAATCCCGATTTAAAGAACTAACTGGGGAAGAGTGTTCCCTCATTTTCATAAAGAAGCAGCAAATCCTCTACACTCACTCAAGGCTCAAGATTTACCGAGAGCACCCGTTTATAATAGAAAAGCAACCTTGGTTAGGAAATAGTTGCCGACTCCTGCTCTATTCGTTTCATCGCTAAAGATGCAGATGAAATGATCGGCTCCCTGTACCACTCCAGTAAGTACCTAACTTCTCATGCTATACACTAACTTCATAAGAGCCAGTTAAGACCGAAAATCGAGTCCTCTTCTCTTATGTGCCGTATCCCTTCAGGACGTAGGCGATCATGGTTCTCCACTTCTTCCTATCCCTTGCAGTCCTCAATATGTTTTGTCCTTTGCTGCCTAGTCCTCACTTTCCAGTCTTGATAAAGTTCAATAACGTAGCCGAGTCCTTGTTGGAGAAGAATTATTTTCTTCTCTCCAACTTCCGAGTCCTGTGGGTGACAAATTATTTCCCCCTCCAACCTCTCCCTCACAGGCGGGATGTAGCGAGTCTCTCACTGCTACATCGCTACTTCCATGGAAAGTGCTCGGACAAACTACATTCCTTGGTTGTCCATACCTAACCTTCACATCTACAATTTTAATCTGTTCAAGGCTGGGGTTAATCTTTATCTTCCCCACCCCCTCCTGTTTACACAAATTGACTCCTAACTTAACCCTCTACCCGTGGCCCCCGGATCTTGTAAAGGGTGAAACTTACTGTAAAAAATTTAAAAAATACATTAAAAAACATAAAACAATATACGATGATGACGAAGATGACTTATAGTGGCGCGTGGCTTAGGGGTTATATTTTTAACTTTAGCCCGGCAAAAGGCCACTTTTAGAGAGTATCCAATGAGTCGTCGGCTTTATCCTGTATCCAAGAATTTCATTTCGGCACATAGTAAATGGTTGCTGACCCCTACTATATACGTTTCATCAATAAAGATGCATGTAAAACGATCGGCTCCCTGTACCGCTCCAGTAAGTACCTGACTCCTCATGCTATCCTCTAACTTTAGAAGAGCCAAACCAGGTTGAAAATGGAGTACTGTTGTCATATTTGGGAGTCAGCTTCCCAGTCCTCACTTTTGAGTCTTGATAGATTTCAAAAGCATCTCTGAGTCCTTGATTGAAAAGAATTATTTTCCACACCTTCACAGGTAGGATATAGCGAGTCTCTCACTGTTCTATTGCTACTACCATGGAAAGTGCTCAGATAAACTACATTCCTTGGTTCCGCTAGGTGTAACCTTCACAGCTAGGACCCACCATGCCACTTACATAGTAGAAAATCACCCACATTCCAACAGTGAAAAGTAAGTTCCACTCAAACAGCTTCTTCCTGAGAACCACTGCCCTGTGTAACAGACTCGCAAGAGGATGTTTCCCTGATCACTACAATCTTAACCTGTTCAAGGCTAGAGTTAACTGTTATCTTCCCTCCTATCCATATAAACTACTGCTTAACGTAATCCTATACCTTGAGTGGCCTCCAGGCTTTGTACAGAGTGAACGTTACTGTTAAAAATAATCTGGTTTAAAATGTGTGTGTGTGTATCTATTGTGGCACATTTGTGAGCCAGTTGTTCCTTTAGACCCAACCACAAGTGTAATTCCTATATACAATCCATTGCTAAAGATGAAGGTAAAATGATCGGCTTCCTGTACCGCTCCAGTAAGTACCTGACTCCACATGCTATCCTCTAACTGAGCCAGTTAAGACCGAAAATCGAGTTTTCTTCTCCTGTGTTCGGTATTCCTTCAGAAATGTAAAAATAAAAATAGATCATAAACCAATATACAATATTCATTTAATGAAATACCAACATTTTTATCATATCCCCAAATTAACTTCCATTATTTACATTAATATATCAAACCGAATACATGTAAGGGTAAAATCATAAGATTAATTTCACGTTAACATTCAATTCACCAAAGAAGAAAATAAATTATTAGAATAGAACAGACAGTTGTATCTAGCTACTTCAACAGTGAGATGGTGGGACCTAATTGCCAATCTAGTAGCACGTTTAAATTCATATAGACGAGGCACCAATAAGGAAAGCTCATCAGAACAGTTGCCATGAAAATATTTGTAGAAAAGACAGAAGGAAGCCATGTCATGTCGATGAGAAAGTCACTGAAGTCGAAATACTTGGTCAGGATTGATTGAATTACAGACCCTTCTTTGAATTTTGTCAAAAATCACGAGATGTGCAGCAGGAGCCCCAAACCAGATATGGTTTTGTTAAAAATTAACACGCATGAAGAAAAATGAAACTTTTCACATAATTTCATATATTTTTCTCATGCTGATTTAATTTTTCTCCTTATTTTATATAAAAAAGGATTTCACATAGGATCACTATTTTCTTTTCTTTCTTTTTCTAGGCTCAAAAGCTAATTCCTGTAAAAACGTTTTCATTAGTCCAAAGAAAATTTCACATATGCTCGCGAATTTGTTTTCTCTTTTTCTTTAGCTTGCTGGTCAATCTTTTTGAACTCAAAGGTTTCATTGGTCCCAAAAAAAAGCATGTAGCTATTTAACAATAAAACTGCAAGACCTAGTTGTCAAACGAGTAGCACACTTACATTCATACAGTTGATATTCTAAGGTAAAAAGGCTCAGAAGAATTGCCATTAAAAGACAGATGGAAGTCACATTATGTCAGTGGGAAATTGACTGAAGTTGAGACACATAGTCGGGATCCCTCATTTTCCTAAAGAAGGAGCAAGTCTCTGCACTCACTCGAGGTTCAAGATACACAGAGAGCACCCGTTTATAATAGGAAAGCAACCTTGGTAACACATTAAACAACCTGAAACATACATACACGCAGACAGGACCAACGGCCGGTCTTGTACAGTACATCGATCCAGTGGGGTCTGGATAGGTATTACAAAATCATAAAAAGATTAATTTCACGTTAACATTCATTTTACTTGAGAAGATTAGGCAGGGTAAGTACAGTGAATAGGTATAATAAAATCTCGATTTAAAGAACTAACTAGGGAGGAGTGTTCCTTAACTCCGATAAATCCTTCATTTTCCTAAAGAAGGGGTAAGTCCTCTGCACTCACTCAAGGTTCAATATTTACCGAGAGCACCCATTTGTAATAGTAAAACAACCATTATAACAAATTAAACGAACTGAAACACACACGCGCGCGGAGAAAGACACAGTCTAAAAAGGGTTTGCTTAAATAGGGTTAACAAAAATTAATAGGTCAAGATTGATTATATTACAGACACTTCTTTTAAGGTTAAACCTCGATTTAACATGTCTTGATTAAAAGAATCACTCGTACATTACATGGGTCATAACAAAAATTAATAGGTCAAGATTGATTATATTACAGACACTTCTTTTAAGGTTAAACGTCGATTTAACATGTCTTGATTTAAAGAATCACTCGTACATTACATGGGTCATAACAAAAATTAATAGGTCAAGA